CGCCCGAGGAGTTAATGCAGGAAGACACGTTAGTCACACACCGGAGACCTCTGATGAGTCCCAACTGCTTTAGCTCGTTGGGAGGAGCGCCTTCAAGTATTGAGTCATCAAGCCCACGAATCGCTGGGCTCACACTGCTGGGGCCGGAGGGGGTGAGAGACAGTTAACTCCTACGCTAAGGGAATGACTGTCAGAGCAGCAGGCAGGAAGAGGCAGTTTTGCCTGCTAGATTTTGGCTTTCCTACAGTTCTGAGTTCTTGAAAGCAGAAGGGCAGGAGTTGGGGAAACTCAGTAGAACTCATGAGGTGTTCCCTCTCCTGAGGGTGGATCTTGCCCTGAATCCCTGTGCCCAGCTGTCCTCCCACGTTCTCCTTCCCATGTACCTTTGCAACTTATTACAACTAGTCCTGCTGGTTTCAAGCGGTTACCAGTCAGGATTTGTTAATTTGTGTCTCATTTATGTTCAGCCAACTGGCACCCGGTTTGATCAACAAAGAATCAATCAGAATTATTCAGTGCCTCTCCTTCCCCTGCCAGTGGAAAACGATGACTACTTAGTTTTAGAAAGACTTTCCATGGGCCTAAGAATCAGAAGACAATATTCTTAAACCCAGATTCAAAGTCCTTCACTATGCGGTGTATTTTTCTTCCTTATAGTTTCTTCATTTTCTAAAATTAATTTTATTATGCTCTAAGGTGGTGGAAAGAAAAGAAGGTGGAAAACTAAAAAAATAATTCCTACATGAAAAAAAATAAAAATTACATGATCCAAAATGAAATACTGCTGATCTTACTATTAATGAAAGAGCTGTAAATTCAAATAAAATTCCATTTCTTCTTCTAAAAATATTGGCAATTTTTTAAAAGTAGTAATACTCAAAACTGTTAAGGGAGCAATGAGTTACTCAGTGACCTTCATCCTCTGCTAATGGAGCCCAAATTGGCCAAGCATTTCTGGAAAGTAATTGTCCAAATGTAGCAATTCTTAAACATTTACAAACCTAATGTACCAAAAAAAAAAAATGATTTTCAACAGTTAGAAAATGTCATTTGTAAATGTCACTTATAAAAAATGCCTTTGACCTTTAATCTGATGGTCTGGTTCCTAGATATCTGTCCTGAGATAATGATCAGAATATAATAAAAGATTTTTATATACAAGGATATTCTTGCAGCATTATAATTGTTTATTATAGTAAGTTTATTTTATTGTTATTATTATTTATTATTATTATTATTGTAAGTTTAAGTAGCCAACTATAAGGTAATTGCTAAATAAAGTATGGTACATGCATGTGATGGGATATTTGACAGCCATTAAAAGTAATGTTTTGCCAAAGGGCTGTTGGAAGAGGGAAATGGGAAGTTGTTGAATTGGTATAGAGTTTCAGTTTGAAAAAGGTCTTGAGATTTGTTGCACAACAATGTGCATATATTTAATGCTACTGAGCTATACAATTAAATGGTTACACTGGCTGGGTAGCTCAGTTGGTTGGAGCATCCTTAGCTACACCAAAAGGTTGTGGGTTTGATTCCTGGTCAGGGCACATACCTAGATTGCCAGTTCGACCCCCAAGTCAGGGCGAGTACAGGAACAACCAACTGATGTTTCTCTCTCCCCTCCCCCATCTTTCCTCTCTCTCTAAAATCAATAAACATACACTCCAAGGAGGATTAACAAATTGGTTAAACCCTGACTGGTGTGCTCCATCGGCCCACGCAAGGAGAGGTCTCAGGTTCGATTCCTGGTTAAGGGTACATATCTGGGTTGCAGGTTTGATCCCAGGCCCTGGTCAGGGCATGTACTAGAGGCAACCGATCAATGTGTCTCTCTCACATTGATGGTTCTCTCTCTCTCTCCCCCCCTCTCCCTCCCTCCCTTCCGCTCTCTCTAAAAATCAATGGAAAAAATATCCTCAGGTGAGGATTAACCAAAAAAATTTTTTAAGTAGTTAAGATGGTCAAATTTATATTACTTTTTTTTCACAATTTTTAAAAAATTTGAAGTAACTTATTAAAAGACTAGAGGCCCAGTGCACCAAATTCGTGCACTTGGGGGGTGGGGGGTGGGGAATCAGCCCAGCCTGCACCCGCTTGCAGTCCGGGAGCCCTTGGGGGATGTCCTGGAGGCAGGAGAGGCTCCCGCCACCACCGCTGCACTTGCCAGCTGTGAGCCCGGCTTCTGTCTGAGCAACACTCCCCCTGTGGGAGTGCACTGACCACCAGATGTTCCTGCGCTGAGCATCTGCCCCATGGTGGTCAGTGCACATCACAGCGACCAGTTGTTCCACCATTTGGTCAATTTGCATATTAGCCTTTTATTATATAGGATTATTTAATAACTAGGGACCCAGTGCACAAATTCGTTCACCTTGAAAGGAACTGTGGGCCTCGAGGCTGCGGTAGGCACAGGGGTGGGTCTCGGCCCATTTTCTGTGCCCCAGCCCAGCCCATCCCACCACAGCTCCCAGTCCCCTGTCTGCTGGCAGCCCTGCTCCCGCCACTGCCAAGTGATTGGGGCCAGCACCAGCAGCAGGCGCGAGCAGGGCCCACACCATCAGCAGGTGCAAGCGACAGCTGCTGTTCCAATTGCCCTCAAGAGCAGGGAGAGGTGGAGAAGCCCTCAGGGGCAGTCAGGGCTGGCAGCCGCTGCTCATACCCGCTGATGGTGCCGAACAGTCAGGACTGGTGCCAGGCACCGGCAGCCGGTGAGAGTGGTGGCTCCGGCACCAGCTGCAGGTGCGAGCAGACCTGGCGCTGGCAGCAGGTGCTAGCGCCAGGCGGGGCCGTGGTGTGCGGGAGCAAAGAATTTTCAGTAACCACCAGAGGCTCGCCCCGATGGCAGCGACTGGCTCCCCGCCTTGGTCTGGAGCCCCCGCTCACCTGCTCCACCATCCTGCCGCGGCTGACGCCCGCCATGTTCCACGCACCCCCCTGGTGGTCAGCGCACGTCATAGCGACTGGTTCGGTTGTTCGGTTGTTCTGGTTGTTCTGCCATTTGGCCTATTTGCATATTAGCCTTTTATAATATAGGATGTTTATATTTGGTTAAGGCTGGAATGAACAGGAAACAAACTATGTAGTTTCATCCTAATTTTGTAATCAGTAAATTAACCTGTACCTCACTCATTAGTGTCATCAGTGGTTATAGCAAGAGAGTAAGGACCCCCGAAAATGGTGATATTGTATTTTTAGTCAGGAAAAAGTTTTAAGAAAAAAAAAAAGACTTTCACCAAGTCTTCAGACAACCTCACTTTCATTCCCTTAGACTCCACTTGTTTCCTTCCCTGCCACTTGATTCCTGCCTTCCATTCAAAAGGCTGTCCTATAGTCTGAAAAACAAACCCACCAGTTTCTCACATCTCCTGCCACCGTCATTCATTTGTAAGTTTTGAAATTTTTTCTTCTCCCAGAACTAATTGGAAAAGAGGCAATATTTCCACAAGCTGTAGATTGTCTTACATGCCTTACCCAGATTCCCTTATTACTGTAATTATCACTCTCACTTAATAGTATCTGAATACCATTGTTATGTGGCATATCTTCAAGTACAGAGATAGCAAACATGTTGTGAACTTGAGTGGTCTAAATCTGGAGATCTCAACTGGAGTCCCCAGACAGAAATTAGGGGGTCTAAGACCTTGGACGGGGAAAAGGACCTATCTATATCTTGATTTCTCTAACTTCTGACTTAAACCGAGTATTTCCTTCTATTATGAATATAGGCAGAACCTATTGGTATTTTTGTATTCCAAGCATCTAGCACAGTGTCCGGCAGAGATTCTCAGTAAATATTGTAGAAGAAAAGAAAGAAGGGGTAGAGCAGGGGTTCTCAACCTGTGGGCTGCAACCATCGGAAAACACATATAGCATATCAGATATTTACATGACGATTCATAACAGTAGCAAAATTACAGTTATGAAGTAGCAACAAAAATAACTTTATGGTTGGGGTCACCACAACATGAGGAACTGTATTGAAGGGTCGCGGCATTAGGAAGGTTGAGAACCACTGGGGTAGAGGGAGGGTGGTTAGAACATGCAAGATGGTAGAATACAAGTGCGCTTGACCCTTGAACAAGGTGGGAGTTATAGGTGCTGTCGAAAATCCACGTATAACTTTTGACTACCCCAAAACATAACTATAGTGTTTTTCCATGTCATAGGGGATTGGTTCCAGGACACTCACAGATATCAACTTTCACAGGTGCTCGAATTCCTTATGTAAAATGTTATAAAACAATGCATACAGTTAGCCCTCCACATCCATGAATTCCCAACTGCAGATCAAAAATACTGTTTTCAGTCTGTGGTTGTTTGTATCACAGAGGTGAAACCTAGGGAAATTGGGGGCCAATTGTGTATTTATTGAAAAAAAATCCGCATATACGTGGACTCATGCTATTCAAGCTCAGGTAGTTCAAAGGTCAACTGTATTCATTTTCTACTCAGTCCTCTCCTGTCTTCATCAGGGATGACATCACTATAAAATAGTCTTACCTCCTAGTTGTGTAGCACTTTACTTTTTAAACTTGCTTTATTTAATTTGTTCTCCTAAATTGTCTCGTGATACAGGAAGGATAGTCTTTTCACTTTACATATAAGAAACCGAGGATCAGTGAAGCAAAAATGCCTTGCCCATGGCCCCACAGCTACTAAATGTCAGAGCCAGCTGTGGGATACCTAGTTCAGTGCACTTTCCCTTTAACCAAATCACCATAGTATAATTGCCGTGCGTGGTCTGCAGGCAGCCAGTCGCTTTTGGAGGCTTCCATGCAGCCTCAAGGCAAAACCAGTTGTCCTTCTGGGACTCTGTTCCCTTGGTCATGTGGCTCAACACTTTAATGGCAGCTGCTGAGACCCTTAATAAACTTCTGAACAACGGGGTTGGGGGCTGGCGATAGCTCCATTCAACCAGGAGTGCCAGAGGTCGTTCCTCCAACTTTGAGTTCCGGGAACCCGTATGCTAACATGACACGGTGTGACCAGGTGGATTCAGGATGGGCTTTGAAAGAAGGATCCATCCAAGCTGTGTTCAAACACTGGCAGTTACTCCTATGCGTTTGACCTTGGGTGAGTTACGTAACTTCTTCCAGGGAGCCTTGGTTTCCTGGTCTGTAAAATCACGGTGACAATACCTACCTAACAAGTTCTTATAGAAAATAAATAAGGTAGCCCTAGCCGGTTTGGTTCAGTGGATAGAGCGTTGGCCTGTGGACTGAAGGAAGGAGCTGTCGGCATATACAGGAACACTGAGGGGTCCCGGGTTCGATTCTGGTCAAGGAAAAAATAAAGAAATAAGATAGACAATGCATGTGAAAACCTCAAGCTCATGGACTGGTTAGGTGATTTTTTTTAATGTTTTTTATTTCTTTCCAAATTAAAAGTCTTCAGAATTTCTGATTGTAATGATTTATGACTTTGATACTGGCAACCTCTTTTTGTCTACACAGTCACTGCATTCTCAATTTATTAGCTTTTGAATTTGTGGAGTAGAAAAACTCAAGCTGAGCTTCAGTTTTGTTCCATTATATTAGCCGCAGGGCAAATGAGAATCCACATTTGGTCCTTTTGAAGCAATTTGCAATTACATTCTTCTCATTTTCTCTTTTATGAGATTGGAATTGCTTATTTCTATTTGGTCATTATTATTTTGCATTGAATCTAACATTAGTTTCATGCCAACAATGACAGAGGCATGAAGGATTCCTACGAAAGTAGCCAAAAAAATCACACAGTCATTACTATGCTTGTCTTCTATTTGTTTTGTTTATTAAAATCATAAATTTATGGAGAGCAGGACTATCTGGTCAGGAGACAAGAAAACTGTCCTGTTTCTAGTCTGGGAGGGAATCATGGAAATGGCTCTCTGGTCCCCAGGCTCTGCCTTCCTGGTTTTCAGTCTTCTTGCCTTTCTGGAACTAAGTGGAAAATAACACAAATCAAAAGCTTATGTGTTTCATTAAGCATCTCAGCTAACCGGACAACATTTTAAATAATTTCACATTATATTATTACCTTTCTTTTACAACCACCCCCTATATTTATCTATTATAGGTCATTTCTTCTGGCAAATGTCCGTCATAATTTTGTCACATTTATTTCAAATATCTAAAAATGTCTGTGCTTGGTACTCAATTATTTAATAGCAAGATGTCAGATACAACATTACTGTTACTAAATTGAAGAGACTGAGAAACATTTCTCCTGACCCACAAGAAAAAAACATAAAACTGGTGAAGACCAAAAGAAAATAGAAAAGTCATTCGCTACTTTTAGAAACTAAAAAGAGGAGATACAAACTTTTTCAGTAATTTAAAAAATATATACAAGGGTGGGCAAAAGTTGGTTTGCAATGGGGAGTATGTGAAACGTATAAGTTATTTTTTTATTATTTATTTATTTATTTATTATTGTATTATTTGTTATGAACAACTATGAACCTACTTTTTCCCACCCCTGTATTAAATATGCTTAATTTCACAGTGAGGGATATGAGATAAAAGAATACTTTGGTCACAACTTATTGTTTGTTAGGCTGTGGATTTCAGAGGATTCACCACTTTTTAAATATGATTAACTATGGTTAGGACACTAATTGATCTTTATTTATTTATTTATTTTTAATCCTCACCTGAGGATTTTTTCCCCATTGATTTAGAGAGAGTGAAAGGGAGAGGAGGGGGAGAGAGAGGAACATTGACATGAGAGACACACATCTATTGGTTGTTTTCTTACTCGGGCGATTGAACCTGCAACGGATGTACATGCCCTTGACCTGGAATTGAACCCACAACCTTTCAGTCCACAGTCCAGTGCCCTAACCACTGAGCAAGCCAGCCAGGGCAGATCTTGATTCTTAAAGCTTCTGAGGATCAGATCTGCACTGAATACACCCTCTGCCCTCTCTGAAGAAAAAGGTCTCACCGTTCATACCTGGGCCACAGTAACGTTAATCACTGCCGCTTTATGTCAAAGCCTAAGTCAGCTATCTCCTGCCAAAAGAGAAAAAATGTATAAATGACCCCCTTAGAAGGGGGTTTCTAAGTAGGTATTATTTACCCTCGAACAGAAAACCCATGGAGTCTTGGAGTTATAAGAGGTGTTAGATCATCCCTGTGTAACTGTTTCATTTCAACCTGAGAAATCGAGCTTAGAGAAGTGCACTCTAGTAGTTACAAAGGTGTATGAGCGTGTGTGTGTGTGTGTGTGTGTGTGTGTGTGTGCGCGCGCATATTTGTGCATGGTCGTGTAACTCTCTAAAATCTCTCTCTACTTAAAGAAATGGGCTTAGATGTACAGCTTGAAATTTGGGTTAGCAAAAGGAAACATCCTCAGAAATGAGGGTTATTTGATATTATAATGCTTTACAAAGAAAGCTTGTGTATGTCTTAAAAGGAAGAGTTGGATTGCCTTCAAGTTCTGTTATTTTATGATTCCCAGATTTTTAACTACCTGGGCTTTTACCTACCCAAAAGAGAAAAGATCAAATAGGCAAAAAGTTCACCTCTTTCTTGCTTTTTTATGAAGTAATTTTGTTCATGCAATAAATCTTTATGTGAATGACTAATGAATCAATGTTGAGTCAGGTCCCTGATTTGAAGACATAAACCAGAATAGTTTCTGGCCTCAAGGATCTTTCAAACTAAAATGATTTTTTTACCATTAATAGTAGAAAAATTAGAAACTCCTCTGTAGAGACAGCTATCCACTAATTGTTACAACAAAGCGACTTTGAAGTAGTGGAGTCATTTATATATTTTTTTCTTTCAGGTCAAGCACAATTTAAAGTAGTAATCAAATCTCTTTCACCTAAAGAGTTAGTCCGGATTCATGTCCCAAAACCTTTGGACAGGAATGATGGAACATTTTTGATCAGGTATAGGATGTATGAATCTGTCAATGAAGGGCTGAAGATAGAGGTCCTTTATGGTGATGAACATGTTGCCCAGTCTCCCTATATTTTGAAAGGTAAGTGATTATTACATAGTTTAGAACCTTATATGTAGATTTCATGCCTTTCAGAATGAGTTATGATGACCTTGAAGTCATATGGAACAAAGTAAAGCTCAATTTAACTTGAAATTTAAGGGAAGCTCAATTTAACTTGAAAATTTAAAGGAAAGACAAACTTAGTAACTTAAAGAGATATAAGTGATAATAATTATAAAAATATTACATGTTTAGCTAGTACCGTGCATGGGCCACGAAGTTTCAATCGCACTGTACGTGTGCGTCCGCATGTGGTATTTTGTAGAAGGGCCACACTCAAGGGGCCAAAGAGCCGCATGTGGCTCGCGAGCCGCAGTTTGCCGTCCAGGGTTCTAGGGGATTGCAAAAGGGAGACAGAAAATAGGAGTGCAGGACTCTGACATAACTACTTTCACCACTGACATGTTTAGGGCAGATTTTTCCTGATAATCTTAGAATTCACCAAGAAGTCATCCCATGTTCACAACAGGGGCAGAAACAACTGCTTGCCTTGCGCTGGCTAATGAAGTGTGTGCTTTGCCTTCCCCAGGACCCATCTACCATGAGTACTGCGAGTGTCCAGAAGAGGATCCCGGGGCTTGGCAGGAAACTCTGTCTTGTCCAACCAAAGAACCACAGATTGCCAAAGATTTTGCTTCTTTTCCCAGCATTAATCTCCAGCAGATGCTAAATGAAGTTCCAAAACGGTTCGGGGAAGAGAGGGGTGCCATCGTTCATTACACGATTCTCAATAACCACATCTACCGGAGACCTTTAGGGAAATACACAGACTTCAAAATGTTCTCAGATGAGATCTTGCTGTCACTGGCCAGAAAGGTATGAGAATGAATTCATTGATTTTTTACAAACAGTATCATTTAAGTACTTAGTTGTAATATTTAAATGCTTAGGAGAATAATGGCAAAGGATGGAACTGGATTCCAGGCTTGGAAATGTGCACGTGAGGTGTCCACCTCCCGCGTGGCTATAAGTTCTCCATGTCTATGGCTCTCCCTTTCCTTTAATATTCACAGGAAGTGGCTTCACCCTCCATCCCAAGTAAGTAGGGCACAGGGTACTCCCAAGGTTTCTGGGAACTCTCAGACCCTTGTAGCCTCAAGGCCACTGCCAGAAGTTCT